GATCCTCGTCGATACTTGAGAACAAGGTCTTAGTGGCTCGGCGTGCAAGTTTGATTAATCCTTCTCCGTAAAGTCGAGGGCTGTACAGGCGCATGAGATGATCGATGGTAAATGGACACCCCTTGCTCACAAAGAATCGAAGTAGAATAATGATCCTCCAAAGTGAAGGATGTATCTGCCCTAGAGTCACTTCATACCTTTTGCAAAAGGCTATGATAATCGGGTCTAAAGGACCCAGCGTGAAAGGGTAAGTGTAAACACTTAAGAAACCCTTCACGTAGGTGGTGATCGATTCCTCGGGGGTAGGAACCACTACGAGTTTATCTTTCCAGTTGCAGTACTTTTTGACTTTATCTAGGATACTGGCTGTAATCATACGTATGTACCTCAAGACTGGCTCACACCGACCCGGTACCATAGGCGTATTCTCAACCTTGAAGTCAGCCACAGTTGGGCACCCAGCAGGGATATACGACCTCAGAGGGGGTTCCTCAGTAACAGCGTGTGGAGCATTTTCAGAATGTTTTGAAGAAGAAGGTGTTTCTTTTTTAGGAACAGACTTTGAAGTCTTTGCCATTTTTTTTAATAGAAAATGAAGAAAAGAAATTACTGGTAAGGGAAGCTTTGAGTCTAACAGTTAGTAAACCAGAAGGTGAAGGTGGTGAAGTTTTCTTAGAATACAAGAAGAATTTGAGTGTAAAAGTTCTAATAAACGGATTGAAGGATATTTATATGTTTCTCAAGCGGTGGTTCACCTCCCGAAGTGGCCGACCGTCAACTGACACACATTTAATGCCTTGAAGATTGGACCGATGGGACGATTCAATTACCTTCTGTCGCTTACGTCATGATTTATTGAAGTGAGAACTAAGGGTTCACATCATTTTTCATCGCCTACTCTCCAAAAAATGAGGGGGCTATCTGTATACGAGTAAAACCGAGCTCGATGCTTGATCGAGCATCTGGAACGGTATGCCAGGCTCGACACATCTGTAAGAGATCGAAGTTACGGATGAAACCGATCTCGATATCGAGGTTCGAAGTTCGGCATGATCAGCCAAGATCGGAATATGATATTGTCAGACCTAAAAGCATCGTCAAAACAGGCTATCGAGACCATCAGATTTGCCCTTGAGTTTACCGAAGGCACGACCGATCCTGCTTCTAATGGCCTCGAAGAAAAGTTTCGTCAACTCATCCGATAAGGATCCGTGATTCTCGCCATTAACCAATCATTATGGCAGAAATCACGGGATTAAGTCAAAAAGGGGCCAACGGTCTACAAAATCAAGGACTTATATTTTTTTTATAAAAAATATCTTAAAAGGAAGATCTCCCTTAATATATAAGGGAAACTCATTAATTCATGGGCAAGCATTGTAACATACTTCAAAGAACAACATGCTATTGTTTCTAGCTTTGTTCATACCATTCCGACTTCAATAATATTATATCTAAGGTCGAAGGAGATTGAACTCACAAGGCCTAGGTTGTTCAACTTGCGTGGTTTACAATTATCTTTCCATTAATTACCTCCACATTAAATCTGATTTCTTCCTTTGTATCAAATAGATCACGTATCCTTAAAACCGCGTATAAATTCAATTGTTAACCGATTTTGAGGGTAAACAAGATCCATTTATTCAACAAAATGCTGCAGAAAAAGTACATGATTAGCAAACTTAATAATATTACTATTCTAACTATTAAGAATATTAATGCGACAAAGTTGAACAACAGATCATAATATTCATTTTCTTTCTGTTTTTACAATTAAGTCAAGTTAAAAGGATAAATTTGTTGTTTTTGCCTATCCAAAGTATTAACACCAAAGAAGCTTAATAACATTATTGTTCCAATTTGTTGTTTTAATAAGGACGATCTTATTGTTGGTATCCTTAAATGAATTCTCAACCTAAATAAGAACATAAATCTATGTTCGCTGAAATGATGTTAGAAAAGGAAACAGAGAAAGAGCCTCAAATGAAATAAAAAAAGTTCAAGGTTGTCGTGGAAGGTATATAATATACAGAGTTAAATGCATTGCAACAAACTCCACCACAAAGAAGAAGTGTGGCATGTCAAGGTCCAAACCAGTTTCTGCCTTTTGTCTCCTCGTAAGTCGAATAAAGGAATTAAGACACTACAGTGAATAAAGTGAGTTCTAATAGATGCAAAATCCTTCTCCTTTGTCCATGCTCTGGACCGACTGTGTTACATTATAAGTTAAGCACAAGCGGAGTCGTCTGTAGCTGTGAAATTATTCTATGAATATATGAAAGGTAGAAAAAGGAAAGAAAAACATAAAGAAAAGAATAAGCTAGAAAAAGAGGAGAAAAAAGAAAGAGAGTGAGCTTGAACAAATGCACTAGAGAGAAAGATAGATGCATCTTACATGTTAGTTCGGACGACTTAACTTTATCCAACATTTGAACACAAATGCTAGATAAAATGGTGTGTCACCAGTAGGTTTGCATACAACTCGCATCTAGCATCGCTTCTTTAACTCCTAAGTTTATATACAGAAATAAACTACAAAAGCTACCAAATCCATGGCCAGCGGGGAATGCATATTGATAGTAAACTGTATTTGTAAAATAATTTTGGAGAAGATAAAATAACATATAAACAGAAATGTAAAAGAAACATGATTTAATCTGAGCCCATTGAATTCACAGTGTTTCCTTAAGAAATTTAATCTCCTCCTACTACCAAGGTTGTGGATTATTTCCTCACAGGATAGAACGAATTACACACTGGTGTAGCGGTACTTCAAACTCCAGTGTTTCAGCGAACACAAAGATCGGTAGCAAATCACACTTACTGTTGCTTTCTTTGTAGTTAAAACAATGTAGAAGAAAGGAGGAGAACTCAGAAATTCGTATGGAAAATCTGAGAAAATGGACTGGTATTTATAGCCAATGTTAAGTTCAAACTGAAGAGGTGCGACTCTTCAAAACTGAAGAGGTGCAACTCTTCAGAAGGGTTGTTTGTGTAAAACGGCCATAACGTAAATGACTTTTACAAAAACCGAAAGACATATAATGTTCCGTTGGATTTAATATTAATTTTTCGCTTACAAGAAAAACTAATATTTCTGTTAATATTTATTATTAACAAATAAATTTGGTCCAAAAAACCAATCAATCAATTGACCGAAGACGAGCGAGCGACGATGGCAGCGCGAGGCTTGCCTTCTTCTTAATTCTTTAAGAGCTAGAAGAATAACAGTTGTATATATACCCATCAAAATCTTTTCCTCTTCCAATATGGGACAATGTCCCTTTGTCAATGAGGGAAACTCAAATATTTTCAATTTTCCTCCATTTCCCATTCACCCTTTTTAAGCTACATTTAAGCTTAAAAACCCAACACACATCGTAGACTCTATGGTGTCGTAGAAGGAAGATAGGACTAAGCATCACTTGGACATCAAACGCTACCAGAAAAACACAACTCAAACTTAGATAGTTATTATATATGGACAACGGCGTAGCTAGAATTTTTATTAAGAAATGTCAAAATATATAAAAGTAAACATATCAGAAAATTAAGGGAAGTCAATACATAGTATATACATATAAAAAAATTATCTACTTACACAATGTATTTTTTCCGCGAAGGGGGTCATTGACACCCCTTCCTATAAGGTGGCTCCGCCACTCTATATGGACATAAATAAAAAATATGAAGATACCTATTTAACGCAACAGAATTAAATTGGACTCGCATAAGTGTTGTAGTTGGGATTCTAACTTGAGAAAGTCAAATAATTATTTCTATGTCGCGACTATTAGTATCCATCACTTTATAGTAGATTAAAAAAGAGTCCAAACCTTATTAATATTGAAAGTAAAAATTATGAGAAGAAAAAGGGAGGTGGAAATGGACCGGGTCAAAAGCTCATAAAATGCCTACGTAAACTGTCTAAACTGATCTAAGATCAAATATGATGTTATTGTAGATTGAATCAGTAACAGTAGATAATTGTATAGTCTTTGCTCCTCTTAATAAAATATAAAATAAATTTTCCATATCGCTTTGTTACCGTATTTGGAGACATCAAATCATTAAATAAATTATTTTATCCATAAATTTTAATATTACCATAATTAACCTATATTTCTCATCATTAAATACTACTAACCTAAAGAAAAACTGATTCGAAGAGTTACACAGGAGGTTCACTATAAAGGTTCTTTGAAGAAGAGACTGTTAAAACAACTTATCCGAATGTATAATCTGGTTGTAGCTGGTTGGCAGATAGCTGAGTAGATAAAGTTTTGCTATTATATTTATTGGGGATGTCCAACTACAATGCCTTTTATTCTTGTACATAATTTCAGTTTGGTAGTGAAAGTTTTGACTTACCAAAGAAGAAGAAAAAACCTAAAAGAAAATATTTTCTTAATTTTTTCGTTATTAATTTCACTTGTTATGTGTAGCCATAACTTAAGCTCGTATAGCTCGCTGAACTATTTCTTGTATAACCACAATGTCGCTCTCTAAACTAAGGCAACAAACTCCACAATGTAGATGAATATAAGATTAATTTCTTTCAAAAAAAAGAAAAGAATAGAAACCAATTACAAGATGTATTATACTATACTATTCCCCTGTTCACTTTTACTTGTCAAATATTCTAAAGAAAAATTTTTACTTGTCACTTTTAGGATATCTGGAGAAAACAAAATATAATTCACTTTTACTTGTCACTTTTAGCATATCAAGAGAAAGACAAAAAATTTTCTGTTATACCCACAATATTAATTATTCATTTTAAATTATTTTCTAAAATCCATTAAAAATATATATCAATTAATATGAATATTATGATAAATTATATATTTTATTTATTATCTCAAGAGCTTTAATATTAAGAGGTGAATAAGGTTTGTTTAGTTTTTTAAAACCAGAATGATTGAAGACAAAGGGTCCATAATCATTCCATAACAGTAATCAAATGCCCCTTCATTAGTTTACTGAGAAAGAGAGAGCCCCATCCCAATATAATAAGGAACCCACTCCTGGATTTCCAGTGGATATCATAATGAGTGTACGTTACTTTCTCCCAAAAAAATAGAGCTTTTAAAATTTCAAAAAACTGGATCACCCCACAGCTCAGATTTCCATATTTCCAACCTATCTTTTAAAAGGCTCTTTCCCCTAATTCCCTCTCAAATTTATAAAAGCTTCTTTTTCTCTGTTTTCTATACATTTTTACAAGTATATAACAACAACACTCTCCGCCAAAACTAGACGGCGCCGGCACTATAACGCCGCCGATAATCTTCTCCCAAGGGAAGAGAAAAAGAAAGAAAACCCATAATTCTCTTTCTTCTACCTACTAACATATCTGAATTTAATTGTCAAAAATTCAGTCTTTGCTTTATAATGTGGCTGCTTATTGTTTTTTAGCTATGGTCATTGACTAAAAGGGTGTTAGCAGGAGAAGAAAAATTTGGGGATTGTACAAAAATGATTTGCAGAAAGAATTCAGTTAGATGTGGTCGTGGAACAGTACCAGTGTATCTAAATGTGTACGATCTCACTTCTATTAATGGTTATGCTTATTGGCTTGGACTTGGTGTTTACCATTCTGGTGTTCAAGGTCAGTAATAACTCAGTCTTGTTTCTCTCAGTCTTGTTTCTCTTCTTGATTTTTTTTTTAAAACATTTTGTAGTGCTTTATATTATCAGATCTAGGCATATTTAGGTAGCTTAATTATTTGAAAAGCAAGAAATTTTCTTAATTAATTTTGTAATTTCTTTGTTAGTTCACGGCGTAGAGTATGCATTTGGAGCTCACGAGTATCCAACAACGGGGATATTTGAAGGGGAACCGAAACAGTGCGAGGGATTTACGTTTAGGAAAGCAATTTTGATTGGATGGACAGAGATGACTCATAGAGAAGTGAGGGGAGTAATGGAAGAGCTTGCTGAGAAATACAGAGGAAATGCTTACAACCTTATAACTAAGAATTGTAACCATTTCTGCAATGATGCTTGTCTTAAACTTACAGGCAATCCTATCCCCAGTTGGGTAAATCGACTTGCACGCATCGGTAAGTCTCTTAATCAATCAATTAATTAACTATGAGTCGGCTATATGAATGAATCATCTGAATAGTGGCGCACAATTCATATCCAAAACAGTCGGGACTCGTTTGGTACATTAATCCCGAGATTAAATTTGAGATGAGTTTATTTCACATTTGGTTGAGATAAAATCGTGGTATAACTAATCCCAGTATTAGCTATCCCGGAATTGTAACATTTTTTATCTAAAATATGAGAGGGTGAAATAACTAATCCCGAGATAATTAATGAAAGGATAACTTGTTTTCCAACCAAACCATCCCTCAGGGCTAACTATGTTTATTATTGGTTGTTAACTTACTGCAATCCAAAGTAATGGTTGTTAATATGTTACTACTTAATATGTAATTATACTATAATTTCTTGTCACTTTATGGAGTTCAAAATTTCCTGTCATTGGAATTTTTTGTTTTCTCATGATGTTGCTGAATTAGGAAGTTTCTTCAGTTTCACAGCACTGGTTCTTGTTCTGTTTTGCAACTGAATTTCTGAAAAAAAAAAAAATTAAGGGCCCAATGCACGAAGCATCCCATGTTCATGCAGGGTCGGGAAGAGCTGCACCCCAAGGGATATAACGTCAGTGACTTGATTTCATAGTTTGAACTCGTGACCCATAGGTCACACGAAGACAACTGGATTATGTTTGGTGATTAGGTTTTCACAATAGCTTAATACTAGGAAATTTATGGGGCCCAGATGTGGCCTGATAGCTACTCAAAGTCGTAGAGTGTAGTAAACGTCCTATTCCCCAATTGAAAAGCTAGTTCTAAATTAAGGATATACCCTTATAGGAATTGCTTATCCAAGAACTTTCCTTGATATGGTTTGATGTGATTAAAATATTGTTCTGATTCTTTTTAAATTTGGTCGGTTCCAGTTTTCTGCTTACCATACGGAATTAATTGCGTCTTAAATTTGGGTAGGTTTATTTTGCAATTGCATTATTCCAGTGAGCTTGAACTCGACCAAAGTTGGCCACCATCGGATTGAAGACAAGGCATGTGATGAAGGGGAGAAGAAGAAACTCAGAAGCCGCTCTAATAGACTGACTCCGTCGACGGATTCATCTCCATCTTCGGAGGAGAAGTCGTGTTCCCCGCCGCTAATCAAAAGTAGAAGCAACAGAAGCAGGAGTCCAGCGCCTTCATCTTCAGCCTTGATATCCACTTCAACATAGATTTCTTGATAATGAAGTTTGTTCTGTTCTACATTTATTCTTTTGCTCTCTACTTTACTTCATAAAGCAAACAACTCTGAAATTTCTGTACATGAATGATTTCTATGAAATGGGGACTCGATGCAATAGATAGCTGCATCAACATTAAATTTGAGTGTCTTATATAAGATTTTATTAGAATATAAATAGTTCCGTCATGTGTGAGATAATAACTGGGTATATTATTGTATAAATATTTCCGCCGTCATCATGATTTTGCATTATGTTGGATAACATGTTCAGACCAAGCAATACTTCAAGACCAAGAGGTCCTAATTTGGTTTAAAACTATAACACAATATAAAAGCGTAACCGTAGTACAATGAGACACATCAGATTTAGGGTGACTAGGAATCTGCTCTGCTTTTCCTTTTTGAGAATAAGTTGCCTTTTTGCAGCTTTCGGCATCAAAAGGCCTCCTTTTTCCTCTAGTTTTACCAAATACCAAACCCCTCCCGAATTTGTCTACCAATCTTTTATTCTTGCGCGCCCATTTCTAGTCTTAAAATCTAATGTTATACCTGAAATTGGACCCACAATCTTACCGACCTATCATATCTCACAAGTCATAACACTATCTACTAGCTCTCTCAAACCTACCATGGAATATGGTAGCCTTGCGGTAACACACATTAAATTCGTTGTTACACCAAATTCCACCCTTACACTAAAAGGTAGAAAGAAAATCCTATATATTTATGTTGAATAAGAGTAGTTATATGAAGAATAGCTCCACTTACCGTTCCATATCTTGTCTTAGCATTACAAGTCGGGGAAGGGGGAACAGAGGGGGAATAAAGGAAAGAAAAAGATAAATTTCCAAACAATAGCATGCGCAGCTTGAGGCGCGGCTTGAACAATCCTGCACAGGAATGATATTTTTATTATCAGCAAACGACTCCCAAACAAATTTCAGAATTCAATCACTATGTGGAAACAGAAAACCTACTTCGCATTAACAAATAATATTTGGTGCACACAGTGACATGCCAAACAGCGGTGTTCTTAGCCATGCATTGCTCTCAGTGACTCCACAAAATTATCCAGGATCAGTGGCCAGGCAAGGAAGGGGTCATAATTGCTCAGGTCTGGAAAACTAATCTGTTACACGGAAACATTAAGATAGGATATAAGACTTTTATCTTAACATTGAGTCATCAAAGTAGCCACAAGGCTTCTGATGCATGCAACTGTCAGATGACAACCTGATTGCTCATATTAGGTGATGACACAAATAGGATAACTAAAACAGATTGACAAAGTGAAAGTGAACCGAAGATTTACCTCATTAACAAACCTATAAAATCCCATCCATTGATCCATGTTTATAACCTTGTAATCAGTCTGCGTCTGCACCAGTAACCAAGCACATAAGCATACTCCTAATTACTAGAATTTAGAAGGATTACTCTGATCTTCAATGCATGCTTGCTGATGGTTCTTCTTCAATAAATATGAAACAATGACTAAAAAAAGTAAGATTTTCAACGGGAAAGTCTCCTTTTACAAGGGAAGTGACTAAATATCCACTATAAAAGGAGCTATAGATAGAAGTTGCAGGGTTCCGGTCAAACAAATGGTGTCCACTGTAGAATGAGCTCCAGAACATAAATGATTAGCAGTAAATGATATCATTCAAAAGCACCCTAAGGGCATTATCAGAGGCCAATTATAAATAGCAGGAGGAGCACAGTGCAACTCACCTTCAAATACTGAATAAGGGCGTCAACTTGGGGTCGAAATTCAAACCCTAAAACGAGATCAAGCAGGAGACAAATGCTCTCGACGTCTATGCTCTTCTGCTTCTCCTCTAGAAAAGAGGTAATAAAAAGAGAAAACTGGTAATCAGAAGAAAGCAGACACAGTTCAAATAAGCAATTTACCTTCTGCTACAAATTAAAATTTTCTATTATAAATGAAAACAAAATCTAAACGCAGCATAACAGAACACCTTATTCTTTCCAAGCTCCAAAGCCTTATATCTGATTATACATTTTCATATCAATATTTTATAAAAGTATTCTGTACTTTTTCATCTTTGTTTCCTTTTTCAGTCTAAAGCTGATCAATGAATCTTTCCTTCAAGAATTAACGAAACTTGATGTTACACAGCATGTGAAGAGGAAGCACCATACCCGTCAAGCAATACTGAAACGCATAGGAGTAGAACTCTACAAAATTTGATGGCCTTCTGACCTTTTAAAGAAGGGTAAAATGTGGATATTAGCGGAACAGAACAGCAATCCTTCTCACAGCAGAAGGGCACCAAAAATTCCACATAGCATGAGCGAAAGTTCAAATATAATAGGTACCTCCTTCTCAAGTTCTGGGAGTGCTTTCTTCAATTTCTGTGCTGTGTCAGCTCTTAATGCTTTGAGGCCCCTCCGCCACTCATCCTAGTAGTCAAAGCAATGGTGAGTTAATAAGAAGCATACAAGCAAATATAAGCAAAGAAAGCTATCAAACTGACAAGTAGCCCAGCAACTGGTTAATGGGTTCAAATCATTATTTCGGATTTGTGGAAGAGGGAGCATGAATATTTGTTAATCTTCGTAGAAACAAACAAGACAATCTACACTATGGCCAAAAAGAATAATTGTATCCCTAGAAAAACCTGATACACATATATTTCTTGCATTTTACTAAGTGATAGGATTATAAGTGCTCACTATTTTACAAATGCTCACTACCCTTCCTATTTTGGTACAAATTGATCCTCCATTAAACTTTGGTGCAAACTAAAACTAATTGGACTGACAATACGCCAAGCATACATTTTTTTAATAAAATGACCCAAGCATACTCATAGTAAAACGTTGAGGTACAGTCAAGAAACCATGAGTGATGCTTCATTAGAGCATCAAATAAATGCAACGCTTTCAATACTGTAGCAGACAACACTAATATCTCAACAAAAACTACAAACACCTTATGTAGTACCCAACTGATATGGCAGATAATGCAGTACAATAGAATAATCATATACAATTAGGTTCGTACAATAAACAGCTATTATTTCCGTATCTCAACTTCCTTCCAGAAGATGCTGCATAATTATTACTCAATGAATGTAGCTTCTAGACCTCACTGATCATAAACTTCCAAAACTTAAGCCCTGGGATGAGTTCTTAAAACAAATATTCTCTAGGCGCATGGCAAATACTCCATTCTTTAGATTACATGCCATCCCGGACAAAAGACTATTCTACAAGTATGAACATGTTCAAATGGGCATATCTAAGACACAGGTGGCAAAAGCATAATTAAAAAATCCAATTGAATAATTATCCTGAGCAAACAGACAAAAAGATGCACACCAATTCGTCCATTTAGCTGGCTAATCTTTGCAGGAACTGGCTTGCCTGGGGAAAAACACTGCAAGACTGTCATCCTGCGTACAGTGCCTATATCCTATGTTCTTGCTCTATTTACCAACAAGCAGGTTAAGAGTAGTTAAGCATTTAAGAAAAACTGAGACTTTGATCAATTTTCTTCAGCACCCTTTTCACGGGAGTACCCTTTGGCACAAACTCCCTAAGATAACAAAGTACATTTATATGCCTGGAAAAGAAAGAACCCAGTCTTAATTTAAGAACTACAGTATGTGAGATAAACAGACATAACAGATGAGTTTAATTTTCCAAGTATAGACCCAATAGACAATCTTGCAAGGAAGAAACAAAAGCTACCCGTGAAAGATTGAGGAAGATGATTGAAACAGCAAAAGAAGTGTAGTACATACTGCAACGCTAAAGTAATATTAGAAGTAGTCAAACAAATACATACCAGTGAAAAGTATCCTTGTTTTTCAGACTGCATCTTCCTAAATTTCAAAGTTATTGTTATTAAACCTCTGAAGATGTAGGATACTTCATACTAACTAACAAGTAACTGGTGTAAGGGATCTCACCATGCAAGCATCAATATCCTGACGTCGGTATGTTCGACTTCCAAATCGGAACAAAGAAACTCAATTCCTTCCGGGCTAACCATGAAAAATATAAAGCGCATTAATCAAGTGCAAAACTGAGGAACTTAAACAAGCTGGCGAAACTGCCCTAATTGGGTGGAAAAGTTGAATGATAATATCCATATTTTTCTTCTTTATTTTTTCCAAGCAAAACTTTCTTGCTTCAAAATCTTATATTTTCTTCGATGGATATTAGAAGCGCAAACAACATAAGGTACTTGTAATGCTCGGAAATTACAGAATAGGGATTACACTGATACAAAAGAAAAATGGTAATGCATACTTACTCAATCATACCAGACGAAGTATTGGCATATGTATGAAATAATTGGTCGATACGTTCCAATTCCTTATTTGCTGCTTTACTTGAAGCTGAAGCAATGAAAACGAAGTGAGATACTGTTGTAATGCAGCTACACTGCATATATTATATTCTACTCATAACACATAATGACAGAAAAAAAAATAAAAAAATACTAAGTGTCCAAGAGGTCTGAGTGCATCAATAGAGTAGTTCTCAAGCACCTATGACAAAAATTTCAGCAGATACAAATTAAATGAGACATAATTTCGAGACAACAAATCCACATCCAATACTCCCAAAAATTCCAAGAATAACATCTCACAAAGCCATACCCAAGCACTCACAAAAATTAAAACAAAAAAAGGACTAAAACCTAACAACACCAACTACATTAGCATCAAAGCTTACACCAACCGGATACTGTGCAATGGCAAGTGGATGATACCTTGGGATGACCTTAAAGATAATGTGTTTCCTTTTATGTTGGGCACATGAGGAAGAGGGTTAAAGACTTAAAGGTAAACCAGTGAAAATTTAAAGCACTACAGAATACAGGANATAGCTGCCTATAGTTTGTATCTTGACCAGATTGTCGCAACTAGTACTTACACCATTTCCTTGCTACCACTAATTCAAGAATTCTCATCTATACTCGAACAACATTCCAGAAAAACTTTAATCAGATAGCGTAGTTCAAGTGGCAATCAAGTCCAACATGCGGCTTACAAGATTCTTATAAATGAACAAGTTCTTACGGTAAAATCCTCCTTTCTTTTTTGTTTTTTGATGGCGGTGGTGTCCGCATAGCTTGCACATAGCTCATCTATTCCATCGAGTACCTGCTACCTCCGGGTAACTCTGCCCTCTTGTCATAGACACTTCACTGAAACTAATCTAATTGTACATGTCCCAAGATTTGGAAGCCGCTAATGCGAATTAATCATCAGTTATCAAAATCCAATTTCTAAGGGGTCTACATGATGTAATACTCATAAAAACAAAAAGGGAAGGGGGAGGGTTACGTGATCTATCCAAAAGAAAAATAATTAATTCAAAGAATAGGAACTTTAAAGGGTGGGAGAACATTCGCATAAAACAAAATTAACTCCATGTGCAAAGTAAACATGCAATACTAATTTTTCGAGAAGATGCATTGGAATCAATAATTAAAACTGAACATAACAAGAAGAGGAAGAATTTACCAGAGCGAAACAAATCGACGGCAGGATTGGTAGAGGCTGCAGAACCAGTTACGCCTTTCTTGGATGAAGTACGAGGCATCTTCAAGTAATATAATTGGGGTAAAAGGAGGAGCGTCAGAAAAGAAAAAAATAGAGAAGAAGAAGAAGATGATGATCCTCGGAGTGAACGGTCCAAGGGTCTCCAGAGGAAGTGGGTGTTTCTGGAATTTGGTGTGGGGATGAATGAATATATATATATATATATATACGCGTGTCGTCCAAATTTGAAGGCGGCGTGTGGCAGTAACAAAAGAGAGAGGAAGCTTCGCTGGCGTTGGGGATCGACGAATTGCAAGTAAGTGTTTTGTTTATATATATATTAATGAAAGAGGTCGTGATCAGCTGTTAACACACTTCGCAGCCGTCTCCCCAACTGGGTGCTACAAGTACAATGGTCTCTTTTTCTTTTCTTTTTAATAAATCTACAGGTAGTTAATTAGTTATAACTAAAGGTGTTAACCGGAAAGGCTAGTCCGGGCTGGACATGAAAAAAAAATAGTCTATCCGGTTAGTGGAGCGGGCTGAGTAGTAGGCTGGCTTACCGGGCTGATAGTGGATTGGGAATTTTCGGGTTAAATTGGGCCCATCCAAGGTTTGGGCTTATCGGGTCCGGACCGGTTTTTAAATATATATTATGTTTTCTTTATTCAATGTAATTGATATTTAAGTGTTAGCAAACTTTTAAATAATAAAATAAATATTTTAAGGCAGAAAATTAAGCTTTTTAAACTTTAAAGTTTTAAGTTTTTAATTTGAAATTTGAATTTTAAAATTGAAACTAAGTGGCTACATAAAATTATTTAATAAGACCAATATGTAAGTATCAAACTCTAAAGGCTTTCGATTCATATTTCATTGAATAATAAATAATACTTCAAATTAATTTGGAAGTTCTATTTTGAATTTTTTATTTTTGAACTTACAAATTAAAAGTTTACAACAATTATAAAAAAAAAATAAGAAAGAGTACATCACATGCTTTGCATTATTTTGTAAGTTCATCCATGTCAACATGAGGTTCTTGGTTTGCGGCATTGCTTGAATCGGAACCATAAACTATTATATTTCTAATTTCTCGGTTCTCTGTTTCATCTACCTCTTCACGCCCTTGATTTTCAGTTTTGATCTTATCCAGTCTTTGAATTACACTAAAACTTTCAAAGCGTTGCCACCCAATGAATGACGGGTATCTCCTAGATGCTGCCTTGCTTGGCTAAATGCGATCTTTAATGTAACTGTTTAAATCGGCACGTTTAGCACGTCTCGAGCCATGGACGAAAGAACATGAAATTGATTTGAGTTAGTCTTCCACCAACCCAGCGGTAGAAATTTTTTTGTGCGGGGCTATGTTGCCTTTTGCAAGTAGAATTGGAGTTCATCAATATTCTTGTTACTAATTTGTTGATGCTCTCCTAGTGTAAACCAAATTAAATAATCTTCAACACTATCATCATCATCCAAAGCACTGGATGCAGATGTAGAAACTGAACTTGAAGGAATATTTGCATTTATAGCAGAAGAAGCATCAACAATGTTAGCATAATAATTATATAAAGTTTGTAAATGTTTGTGTAGATCAGAAATACAAGTTTCAATACCAGGGATTTCAGTTGGTCCAATATCCATATAAACATATAAAGCAGTGATTAATTGGCGACATGTAGCCATTTTGATAGAAGGGTTTAAAATATCACCAATTAAGTAAATAGGGGGAATAAGATAGAAATATTTCTTAAATTTATCTAGCATAGATTCAACAACAGAACTATATCCCTCTTTCTTCTTGAAATTATGGAGTAAAAGAGAAATTTCAGCTATATATACTAAACCATTTGCAATAGTAGGATAATAAGCTCCAGAAAACTCAAGTGTAGCTACATAAAAAATTTATAAATTTTTTTACAACATCTTCGATGACATCCCAAGTACTAAATGTTAACAAACGGATAGGATCGGTACAATGAGAATTAGCAACTTCAGTTATAGGCATTTTATATTTATAACAGTATCTTAAGAATAAATAAGTATAATTCCACCTAGTAAACTATTTCTTCATGCATTAGTCTTGATTTTAGTCCATATTGTACACATTTATCCTTAAATGCATTTAATCTAGCACTTCTATTATTTTCTTGAATTACACCAACAACTCTTCTAACTAAAGTGATCTCATTTCTAAATAATTCAAGGTCACTTTTAACAATTAAATTATAAATATGACATGCACACCTCACATGAAATATTTGAGGAAATGGTGGGTGTAGATACAATTTTAACAGTGAAATAGCAGCATTGTTGTTAGAAGCATTATCAAATGATATACACAAAACTTTTTCTGAAAGATTGTAAATTATAACAACTTCATGAATAGTATTACTTATAAATGCACCGGTATGACTTTGATTTTTATCATATTTAAATGCAATAATACGTTTTTGCATACAAAAATTATCATTTATCCAAAGGCATGTAACAGTTAAATAAATATTTTCATTAACAGCACGACCAATATCAGAAGTAAGAGAAACTCTACAAGAAAGACTAGCGAACAAATAACGGATATATATCTGATATTGTCCAAAAAGCCTAAAGATATCAGCTCTACAAGTACTTCTAGGAATACCTTTAAACAAAGGGTTATAAATTCCTTGAATATAAGTAACAGGATATGATGAAGTTGTAAAACTAAAAGGTAAACAACCTAAAATAATTATTTTAGCTAATTTTTTCCAATCTCTCACTATATTGTATTTACTCATTAAACCGCCAGTACTCGAATTAAGTTTTTGTTGGCCAGATTCTTCATTAGCACCCCATGCAATAGGGTGGTTATCTACCATGAGCCTACGAAGTTGACTCGTTCCCCCTGCTTACCTCCGGTCTCATGTTTATAAATTTCCTTACAAATAGTAACCACCCTACTTACTTCTTAATCTTCGATTCTCTTAATAGGGAGGGGAGGCCTACCTGTATTACCATGACATTCACCCCTAGTATTTTGACTAGCAGTGCCAGGTGTAGGTGGTGGTGTTTCAAGATTATCAGGTGATTGAATATCATCTAAATTATCATCTATACCATAATCTTCTTGAAGTTGCTCATAATCTATATTTAAATTTTCAAGAGAACTTTCAGAAATATGTGTAAAACTACTAGAAGAACCAGTACCACATCTTTGATCTTTTAAGATTTTTACTCTTATTAGTACCACCCTACTAGTACACATTTTTTTGGCTGCTCTAAATATACTCAATTTAATTAAAAATCTAAATTAATAAAATAAAATAAAAATAAACACCAAAGAAGAGAAAGAGATAGAACTAGTGTACCGGGAGTCCGGATGCCGCACTAAATTTGATATCACACTTCAATTGATATTTGATGATATTGATACCACACTTCACTTGATAATTATAATTTTGTAGTGGCTACCGTAAATATTTGATAAAACCTAAAATAATAAGTAATTGAGAACTTGAGAACAATAAGCAATTCAATAATCAAGAGAGAATTAGAGTAGTAAAAGAGCAAATTTGTGAGAAAAAATGAATAAGATGGTGGGTTATTTATAGTTTTTAAAAGGTTAAAAATATAATTTATTAATTATTAGAGGCGGGGGAGGGCTATTTTCTTAATGTGATAGGCCGAAATGGCCAAAAATACAAAATAAATGACCGTTGCCCAACGATCATTTTTAAATTTGACTGTTGGCAACGGTAAAAAAAAATACATAACGGTAACCGGGATGGACCGGGTTGTAACTCAGTAAAAACCCGTTAGTGGATTACCGGGCTTGCCGGGTTCCGGGGCACCGGTTAACAAAAATGGCCCGCCTNCCGTCCGGCTAAACCCCCAACCCTAACCAACCAGTCCCACGTGGCAACGGTAGAAAAAACTGCATACTGGTAATCGGGATGGACCGGGTTGTATCTCGGTAAAAACCCGTTAGTGAATTACCGGGCTTGTCGGGTTCCGGGACACCGGTTAGCAAAAATGGCCCGCCTCCGTCCGGCTAAACCCCCAACCCTAACCAACCAGTCCCACGTGGCAACGGTAGAAAAAACTGCATACTGGTAATCGGGATGGACCGGGTTGTATCTCGGTAAAAACCCGTTAGTGAATTACCGGGCTTGTCGGGTTCCGGGACACCGGTTAGCAAAAATGACCCGCCTCCGTCCGGCTAAACCCCCAACCCTAACCAACATGTCCCACCCCCTTAGCGGACCAGACTGAACCGGGTTGTCAGTGGGCTAGCCCGGCCCGACCCATTTAACAGGTTACTTATAACTATGGGTATAGTTATATGTGCTAATGTGAAGGTAAGTCTTTTTTTTAAAACCATAAATAAGCTACCTCTTTTTGCGACGTATATTTTGATCTTCTTCTTTCAGGGACGTATATTTTTTTAAGTATGGGACGTAAGTTGAAACATGGTACAGTGACAATTTCCTTATCGAATAATACGTCCAGTTTTATATTATTTTTGGTTGTAAATTTCATACAATTTTTTAGTGGTGGGAAATTCTTTTAATAAAGTAAATAATATTATTAATGTTACAAACTAAATTCTTGCATACAAACGGTATACCAAAAAAAATAAAGACAACCTGCATATGATTAAATATTTCAATACTAAATACAGTCAATTTTCTATACAATTCAAAACCTCATAATGCACCAAAGAATAGAAATAAGCAGCTATTCTTCACATGAACAAAGTCACTCTATCCTATACAAAGGATCTCTTGTTTCTCTACTTTCATAAATCACACTTAGTGCTGATGGAAAAATATTTTACGTACACCACTAGTACCTAACTAGCCGGCAATGCAGAAGGATCCATGTATCCACGTACTCGCTCGAGTTCTTAAACATAACACCAAGTAACGTAGGTGATTTTTCCCTTTTCCTCAAAACACATTTCTTGTCCTAGGTATCCATGTTGAGGTTTCACGTTGTGTTTTACATGTATGCATTTGAGTGGTTGCCAAACGAACTGACCAATAGAAGGATCAATAATCAATCCACGAACTCATACTCTTCGCTGGAGAACTAAGGAAACATATAAATGCTATCAGTTGTGCCACTTTTGTTTTATGCCAAATAACTGAAAGTTTCTGGCACGAGTACGAAAGCATATAATTACAATCAATTCAAATCATGTCTTCAAGACATTGCAGAA